TCCAGACCGGTTGAACCTCCATATAAAAGCATTATTCCAGACCGGATGAACCTCCATATAAAAACATTATTCCAGACCGGATGAACCTCCATATAAAAGCATTATTCCAGACCGGATGAACCTCCATATAAAAGCATCATTCCAGACCGGATGAACCTCCATATAAAAGCATCATTCCAGACCGGATGAACCTCCATATAAAAGCATTATTCCAGACCGGATGAACCTCCATATAAAAGCATTATTTCAGACCGGATGAACCTCCATATTAAAGCATTATTCCAGACCGGATGAACCTCCATATTAAAGCATCATTCCAGACCGGTTGAACCTCCATATAAAAGCATCATTCCAGACCGGATGAACCTCAACATTAAAGCATCATTCCAGACCGGTTGAACCTCCATATAAAAGCATTATTTCAGACCGGATGAACCTCCATATAAAAGCATTATTTCAGACCGGATGAACCTCCATATTAAAGCATTATTCCAGACCGGATGAACCTCCATATAAAAGCATTATTCCAGACCGGATGAACCTCCATATAAAAGCATTATTTCAGACCGGATGAACCTCCATATAAAAGCATTATTTCAGACCGGATGAACCTCCATATTAAAGCATTATTCCAGACCGGATGAACCTCCATATTAAAGCATCATTCCAGACCGGTTGAACCTCCATATAAAAGCATCATTCCAGACCGGATGAACCTCAACATTAAAGCATCATTCCAGACCGGTTGAACCTCCATATAAAAGCATTATTCCAGACCGGATGAACCTCCATATAAAAACATTATTCCAGACCGGATGAACCTCCATATAAAAGCATTATTCCAGACCGGATGAACCTCCATATAAAAGCATCATTCCAGACCGGATGAACCTCCATATAAAAGCATCATTCCAGACCGGATGAACCTCCATATAAAAACATTATTCCAGACCGGATGAACCTCCATATAAAAGCATCATTCCAGACCGGATGAACCTCAACATTAAAGCATCATTCCAGACCGGTTGAACCTCCATATAAAAACATTATTCCAGACCGGATGAACCTCCATATAAAAGCATCATTCCAGACCGGATGAACCTCCATATAAAAGCATTATTCCAGACCGGATGAACCTCCATATAAAAGCATTATTCCAGACCGGATGAACCTCCATATTAAAGCATTATTCCAGACCGGATGAACCTCCATATTAAAGCATTATTCCAGACCGGATGAACCTCCATATTAAAGCATTATTCCAGACCGGATGAACCTCCATATTAAAGCATTATTCCAGACCGGATGAACCTCAACATTAAAGCATTATTCCAGACCGGATGAACCTCCATATTAAAGCATTATTCCAGACCGGATGAACCTCAACATTAAAGCATTATTCCAGACCGGATGAACCTCCATATTAAAGCATTATTCCAGACCGGATGAACCTCCATATTAAAGCATTATTCCAGACCGGATGAACCTCCATATAAAAGCATTATTCCAGACCGGATGAACCTCCATATAAAAGCATCATTCCAGACCGGATGAACCTCCATATAAAAGCATCATTCCAGACCGGATGAACCTCCATATAAAAACATTATTCCAGACCGGATGAACCTCCATATAAAAGCATCATTCCAGACCGGATGAACCTCAACATTAAAGCATCATTCCAGACCGGTTGAACCTCCATATAAAAGCATTATTCCAGACCGGATGAACCTCCATATAAAAACATTATTCCAGACCGGATGAACCTCCATATAAAAGCATTATTCCAGACCGGATGAACCTCCATATAAAAGCATCATTCCAGACCGGATGAACCTCCATATAAAAGCAATATTCCAGACCAGATGAACCTCCATATAAAAACATTATTCCAGACCGGATGAACCTCCATATAAAAGCATTATTCCAGACCGGATGAACCTCCATATAAAAGCATTATTACAGACCGGATGAACCTCCATATTAAAGCATCATTCCAGACCGGATGAACCTCCATATTAAAGCATTATTCCAGACCGGATGAACCTCCATATAAAAGCATTATTACAGACCGGATGAACCTCCATATACAGGTGCTGGTCATAAAATTAGAATATCATGAAAAAGTAGATTGATTTCAGTAATTCCATTTAAAAAGTGAAACTTGTATATTATATTCATACATTACATACAAACTCATATATTTCAGATGTTTATTTTGTTTAATTTTGATGATTACAAATGACAACAAATGAAAATCTCAAATTCATCATATCAGAAAATTAGAATATTACTGAAGACCAATAAAAACAAAGGATTTATAGAAATGTTGGCCAACTGAAAAGTATGAACATGAAAAGTATGAGCATGTACAGCACTCAGTATTTAGTTGGGCCTCCTTTGGCCTGTATTACTGCAGCAATGCGGCGTGGCATGGAGTCGATCAGTCTGTGGCACTGCTCAGGTGTTATGATAGCCCAGGTTGCTCTAATAGTGGCTTTTAGCTCTTCTGAATTGTTGGGTCTGTTGTATTGCATCTTCTTCTTCACAATACCCCATAGATTTTCTATGGGGTTAAGGTCAGGAGAGTTTGCTGGCCAATTAAGAACAGGGATACCATGGTCCTTCAACCAGGTACTGGTAGCTTTGGCACTGTGTGCAGGTGCCAAGTCCTGTTGGAAAATGAAATCTGCATCTCCAAAAAGTTGGTCAGCTGCAGGAAGCATGAAGTGCTCTAAAACTTCCTGGTATGTGGCTGCGTTGACCCTGGACCTCAGAAAACACAATGGACCAACACCAGCAGATGACATGGCACCCCAAACCATCACTGACTGTGGAAACTTTACACTGGACTTCAAGCAACGTGGATGAAGTGCCTCTCTTCTTTTCCTCCAGACTCTGGGACCTTGATTTCCAAAGGAAATGCAAAATTTACTTTCATCAGAGAACATGACTTTGGACCACTCACCAGCAGTCCAGTCCTGTTTCTCTTTAGCCCAGGCAAGACGCTTCTGACGCTGTCTGTGGTTCAAGAGTGGCTTGACACAAGGAATGCGACAGCAGAAACCCATGTCTTTCATACGTCTGTGTTTGGTGGTTCTTGAAGCACTCACTCCAGCTGCAGTCCACTCTTTGTGAATCTCCCCCACATTTTTGAAGGGGTTTTGTTTCACAATCCTCTCCAGGGTGCGGTTATCTCTCTTGCTTGTACACTTTTTTCGACCACATCTTTTCCTTCCCTTCGCCTCTCTATTAATGTGCTTGGACACTGAGCTCTGTGAACAGCCAGCCTCTTTAGCGATGACCTTTTGTGTCTTGCCCTCCTTGTGCAAGGTGTCGATGGTCGTCTTTTGGACAACTGTCAAGTCAGCAGTCTTCCCCATGATTGTGTAGCCTATAGAACTAGACTGAAAGACCATTTAAAGGCTTTTGCAGGTGGTTTGAGTTAATTAGCTGATTAGAGTGTGGCACCAGGGGCCATCAATTTTGAACCTTTTCACAATATTCTAATTTTCTGATATGATGAATTTGAGATTTTCATTTGTTGTCATTTGTAATCATCAAAATTAAACAAAATAAACATCTGAAATATATGAGTTTGTATGTAATGTATGAATATAATATACAAGTTTCACTTTTTAAATGGAATTACTGAAATCAATCTACTTTTTCATGATATTCTAATTTTATGACCAGCACCTGTAAAAGCATTATTCCAGACCGGATGAATCTCCACATAAAAGCATTATTCCAGACCGGATGAACCTCCATATTAAAGCATTATTCCAGACCGGATGAACCTCCATATAAAAGCATTATTCCAGACCGGATGAATCTCCACATAAAAGCATTATTCCAGACCGGATGAACCTCAACATTAAAGCATTATTCCAGACCGGATGAACCTCCATATTAAAGCATTATTCCAGACCGGATGAACCTCCATATTAAAGCATCATTCCAGACCGGATGAACCTCAACATTAAAGCATTATTCCAGACCGGATGAACCTCCATATAAAAGCATTATTCCAGACCGGATGAACCTCCATATAAAAGCATTATTCCAGACCGGATGAACCTCCATATAAAAGCATTATTCCAGACCGGATGAACCTCCATATTAAAGCATTATTCCAGACCGGATGAACCTCCATATTAAAGCATTATTCCAGACCGGATGAACCTCCATATTAAAGCATTATTCCAGACCGGATGAACCTCCATATTAAAGCATTATTCCAGACCGGATGAACCTCCATATTAAAGCATTATTCCAGACCGGATGAACCTCCATATTAAAGCATTATTCCAGACCGGATGAACCTCCATATTAAAGCATTATTCCAGACCGGATGAACCTCAACATTAAAGCATTATTCCAGACCGGATGAACCTCCATATAAAAGCATTATTCCAGACCGGATGAACCTCCATATAAAAGCATTATTCCAGACCGGATGAACCTCCATATTAAAGCATTATTCCAGACCGGATGAACCTCCATATTAAAGCATCATTCCAGACCGGATGAACCTCCATATTAAAGCATCATTCCAGACCGGTTGAACCTCCATATAAAAGCATTATTCCAGACCGGATGAACCTCAACATTAAAGCATTATTCCAGACCGGATGAATCTCCACATAAAAGCATTATTCCAGACCGGATGAATCTCCACATAAAAGCATTATTCCAGACCGGATGAATCTCCACATAAAAGCATTATTCCGGACCGGATGAACCTCCATATAAAAGCATTATCCCGGACCGGATGAACCTCCATATTAAAGCATCATTCCAGACCGGTTGAACCTCCATATAAAAGCATTATTCCAGACCGGATGAATCTCCATATAAAAGCATTATTCCGGACCGGATGAACCTCCATATAAAAGCATTATTGCAGCCTAAATGAGGCCAAACAACCAAGAAATTGGTAAAAACAAGGAAGAAATCATCTCCATTGTGTCTTAGCAGCAGCTAATGCACATCATTACCTGCTTTCCTTGTCAACTTGATTGACATCATTTTTCTTAAGCAGCTGCTTCAGCTTTGCCAAGTCAGCCTGGAGGGCAGCTTTGTGGATTTTGCCCAGATCTTTGTCTTTCAGTTCGTAGCCATCAGAGAGAGCGCTGACATTGTCAGAGGTGCCAGATGAGTTCTTCTTTTTCTTCGTAAAGCCGAATAACTTCTTCATTTCCCAGAGCAATCCCAGCTGCCTCTTTCAGCGTCACTCCTCGCCTCCTGTTAGCTGCTGAGGGCTCACCGCAGGAGGCTCTCCCATCCCTAAAATAAGACGGAGAAAGCCGAATAAGGTACTGAAAGCCTCGCTCAGTTTGTCCTGGTGATCAGTCTAATAGTGCCGGTCTCACCAATAGTGCTCTAACAGTCCTGGCGCTGTGATGCGGTGTCTTATTACGGTGCTCAATGACTGAATTAGCAGCTATGCTAACGGTATGCTAACTATAGCATAGCTTATTCCTAGCTTTCCTCCGAAGGACCGTGTCAGAAAAAACTATTTATTTAATAAACTATATATATAAAAACCACGGGTAGATGTTTCACTGATGTTTTTACCCTAAAGTTTCCAATCATTACGTTGCTGTTGTTAGGTTGTTACCATAGCAACCTACCGTAAAACTGTTGGTATGAGATACTCATAGATTAGCTCCAGCTAACACAGAACACTAAAGCGTTTGGCTTCCCTTAACATAACTAAACATTTATCGGTTTTAATGAAACCTTGATTCACATCCCATCAGTGATTAATGCTACGGCGTCATTTTAATCAAACAGGATCATTTAAAACATTTAAAACCGGTTTACGGCAAAGAAGCGCAGCAGAGATTTACTTCCATTATAAACGAACAGCAGCGCTTTGCTTTCATCATTTAGCAGAAGTTAAAATAATATGAAAGAGCAGCAAATAAAACATTACTAACTGATTGTTAACTATGGGCGACTTAAAATGAAAACGGAATTATGTAATAATACGTGTGTGAGACTTTAAACCACATATCCAACATACTTTGTTATTGATTAAATGCTAAAGCAGAATAAAAGCTCAGTTACTAACCTGTTGATTGTCGATTGTAGTTTATTTCATGAAGCTAACGAAGTTCACTCATATGAACATGCTTGCAGTTTAAGCTACAAGGAACCAATGAAAAATAAGCAGGGGGTGCAAACGGGCCAATAGGAGACTTCGAGATATATATATATAAAAAAATGGTTACCAGCCTGAGACCTTAGGCTGTAATAGTAGAATTTCACCACACGGTGGTGCTATTCTTGAATGTTTGACTGCTTTAGAATTTTGGCACATCAACAAATTCTTGATATTAGATCCATTTCTTTAATATGCTTTTTTTTAAAAAGCTTGAAAAAAAAAGATCATCCTCATCAGTGTTATCATCATTTCAAACAGAGTCTCCGTTTGTTTTTTTTTCCTTATATGAAAAAATCATTACCAATTTATAGATTCTACATGCAAATACATAAATTACCGGGGAAAAGACTTCATATTTGATTGAGCAACTCTTTTTAAATTTTAATAGGTGGTACTAGAGTATAATGGCTGCACAATTCTAGATCCATCCCCCGTACAATTTTGTGGTATATCTAAAGGTATTATATATTGTTTGATATTTTATCAAATAAAAAGTGCTGCATATAAACTTAAATGCACAATTAGTTGTATATTGTCTAAATTTACAGCAAATGTATTTATTTATTTTTCCCTTTTGGTCCCCCATATATTTCAGTCGTCCCTGATTTGGTGTCGCCTGACTCTACAGGGGATTTTGACCCCCACTTTGGAAACCCCTAGTTTAGGAAACTAATCAGGACTTCAACCACTTAAGATGCATTTGATATGGCCAATGTTAAGGTACAAAGTGGTTCTCACCTTAGAGTCGTAGGGAAACAGCCGCTACAACCGTTGCATTTCCGAATTCTACGGAGTGGTGCGCGACTTTACACGAGTGAATAAAGTGAATGTGATTGGTCGTTTATCAAGGGGGCGGGATTGTTGTGAAGGAAGGTTCGCAAGCAAGTTTGGTTGTAGTCAGTTTGTTGGAAGCATCTTGCTAACCAGTTAGAAACTTAGTGCTAGCAGGTTCCCAATGGGAAATTCCATTGGGACCAAGTAGCACTAAATTGGTGACTTAGAAACGACGCTGTCAAGGAACGCTATGGACAGCGGAAACATGCAAGAGGAGGAGAGTTTAGTGTCGGAGGTCGTGGATGAGTCTCCTCCGTCATCCATTTTTTATTTAGAGGAGGAAAGCGGGGACGAAGATGTTGTGGAAGAGGACGCCAGGGCGGCAGAAGCTTGGTTTGGTGTAGAAGGCTTCCAGTCGTACATGTTTGAGCCCTTGCCTCGCAACGCTGCCAGTTCTGTTAGCTCTGGACACAGACGTCCATCCCCGTGAACACTGGGACGCAACTCAATGGGAAAGGAAAGGATTCTGGTTTCAACCGCTGCGTATATTAGCTGCGACATATGAATCAAGATGCTATGACCGAAAACATTTGATTGACAGATGACCGTTGATATATGATTGGCCGAATTTAGGTATTCAGGCTGCAAAAACTAACTGGCCTGCAGAAGATAACGGAAAAAGAAAGAAAAAAACGGATTTTCAGACAGAATTTCTTTTTAAATAGAAATTTTCTAAACTTTGGGACAATGTTGTCTGATAAAGATTAAATTTATATACACTTTTAGCCAAAATGATTTGACATTTAAATAAGACTTCCCTACAAATTTAATAAATAAGAAACAGCATCTGTCCTACAGAGGCATTTTTCTTTTAATTATTTAATCTGTGTGTTAGATGTTTTAACATTAATTAGAGATATCCTGATGTCTTAGAAGTTTGGGTTACTTCATTTTTTTGTTTAGGATGAGGAAACGTTGTGAATGTTCTCTTCCATAGATGGCCACTTTCTGTTTTCCCCAAAACTAATAACTGTTGTAAGGAATTAAACATTCCAGTAGATAAAGTGTAATATATGTTAATTAATATCTCTCTACAGGAAACATCGGGTCTGTGACATTTAAAGAATGGCTGAGGTAGTTAAAAGAGAAGGTATCGATAATTTAATGGATATAATAACTGACTTAAAGTAAGGGCGCTGGCAGCTTTTAGAATCGCTATGCTTTGCTCAAGGGCACTTCATTGATTAAGAACTTTAACCTGATTTATTCATTTTGAAGCAAGAGTCTGATTAGAAGAGCTTATCAGCTGACTGGTCTGGTTTCAACTCTAGGTACAGAGTAAACCCTGTTCCTTTGTGCTGCCTCTAGACCAGTTTGTCTAGTAGGAATCGATCTGATATATATCTAACAGCCAAATACATGTGATTTCTCACAGATGATGTCAGTGAATTCTATCCAATCAATGAGTTGTTACGTGGGAGACACTCTGTCATGATCAAGGGGATTTTTCTGACCCACATGAAGGAAACCACCGGCAGGACTCAAAAGATCGGTTTATCTTATTTATTTAACAGAAAACAGTATTTAAGCTTGGTTCAGACAGATCAGCTGCTTGGTTCCAGATCAGGAGCCGATCTCAGAGGGGGCTTGTGGATTGGAAAGTGGGCTGGAGACCAAACCGTGGAGAGTGGTCAGGCAGACAGAGTAACAGCGGAGCCTGGGGGAAAAGACAGCAGGATGAGCAGGGGTTCCCCTCATTCAACGAAAAGTACAGGAATTCTTCAATACACAATCTTAATACCTTACCTTGTATACTGTCAAGTTTTTCCAAAGATTTTGCTGCAGTCCTTACCACACAGCTATAGTCAAATATTGACCTAATTAAAGCTTTATAGTGGTTAACATTAGAGTTCTACCTGCCCCCCACATTGTTCCAGTCAGACACCTCATAATATTAATGTTTTCTTTATTACAATTTTCTTCCATTTTCTTTATATGATCTTTATAAGTAAGTTACTCATCCATCCATCCATCCATCCATCTTCCGCTTATCCGCGGTCAGGTCGCGGGGGTAGCAGCTTCAGTAGGGAGGCCCAGACGTCCCTCTCTCTCAGCCACTTGGTCCAGCTCCTCCGAGGGAATCCCAAGGCGCTCCCAGGCCAGCAGAGACACATAGTCCCTCCAGCGTGTCCTGGCTCTCCCCCTGGTCCTCCTCCCGGTGGGACATGCCTGGAACACCTCACCAGGGAAACGTCCAGGAGGCATCCTAATCAGATGCCCCAGCCTCCTCAACTGGCTCCTCTCCATGTGGAGGAGCAGTGGCTCTACTCTGAGTCCTCCCCGGATGATTGAGCTCCTCATCCTATCTATTTATTTATTTATTTGAATAGGGACAATGCACATTAATGAACATCAGTATAAAAACAAATGTAAATACGCCGGATTATAGCTACAAAGCTAGTTTTCATCCGTAGTCCCTAGGCAGGCAAACACATAAGAAAGAACATATAATATACAATATAAGCATCACAAGGAAATGTTAAGTTTAGTGGTTACATGACTGGTTTGTTTTCATCTGTAGTTTGAGTTGAGCTCCAAAGCTGATCAGTGTAGGGCCCCTCCGTATGTGCAGAGGAAGACTGTTCCAGATGTTAGAGGCTCTCACAGAGAGAGTGTTCTGACCAAAAGTTGTTCTTCTGTGAGGGACCTCACAGTCTCCTCTTGAGGAGGCCCTGCTTCTCAGGCCACTTGAAGTCTTGTGTTTGAACAGAGTAGACATAGGAGGTGGGGCTAGTCCATGTAGCGCTTTATAAATGAAGCATACATACTTAAAATATATACAATTTTCAAAAATTTTAAAGATTGTACTTGTTTAAAATATTACATACATGGAAAGAATTAGGTTTTTGGTGAAACAGTTTTTGAGATTTTTTGTACAGTGATTCAATTAATTTTAAATCGGTAACTGTGGTGAGAGACCAACTTGTGATGCAGTATTCAATGTGAGATAAAATCATTGAGCAGAGAACAATTTTAGCAGCACCAAGTGTTAAAAAAGACCTGATTTGTTTAAAATTTTTAAGGTTAAATTTAACAGTATTGGCAAGTTTTTTGATATGATTTTTAAAGGAAAAAGTGGAATCAAGTATAACGCCAAGGTACTTGAATTCTGTGACAAGTTGTAATTCTTCTCCTCTCAAGAATACTCTGGAGCTTTTTATTTCTTTTGATTGCTTTGAGAACATCAAACAGACCGTTTTTTTTAAATTGAGAAGCAAACATGATTTAAAAAGACAGTCATTCACTTGCTCCATGGCTGAGGTCAGAATAGAAGCTGCCTCTTTAACACTTCTTGCATGAGTATAAATTACAGCGTCATCTGCATCCATTTGAAAATTCACACCATTACATGTTTTGGGAAGATCATTTATGTACAGGGAGAATAACAGGGAACCAAGTATTGATCCTTGCGGCACACCGACAGAGACATCCATGACCGATGATTTTATACTGTCAATTTTTACACATTGTTTTCTTGAGGATAAGTATGATTTAAGCCACTGAATTGCCTCTTTTGTCTTTAGCCTTCGAATTTTTTAGTGAACTAATAATTTTGGAAACTTCCGGCCCTGTTATTTCACGTAAATTAAAAACATGCTGTGTGAGATCAATGGACCTTGGTTTAAGATCAGGAGATGGAAATAATTTGCTTATTTCTCTCACAGAATTTAGAAAATAATTGTTAAATTCATTTGTCAATACATCTGGATCAGTCACAGCAATATTGTTAATGTTGAACTAAATTTCTTGTTTTGCTTTTTTATCCTTCCCTGTTAATTCATTTAAACTTTGCCAGATCTTTTTGGAATTTCCATTTGCTTCAGAAATGATGTTCATGAAAAAAGTTCCTTTAACCTTTCGCATAATTTGAGTAACCTTATTTCTTAATGAGGTAAATTTATGCCTGTCTGTGATGAGATGGGATTTCATATATTTTTTTAGTTGCTCATCTCTGTCTCTCATCCATTTCTTACATTCTTCATTCATCCATGGTAATGGATTTCTCTTTCTTTTGTTGTGGTTTCCCCTTTTGGTAAAGTTTAACATTACTTCGTTAATTTTCTTGTGAAATAGACAGCTGCTATTTTCAACATCTTTACTTTGAGTGATTTCGTTCCAATCACAGCTTTGCAGAGCTCCACTAGATTTGGTAGTAGTTTTTTGGGAATTATTGTTGTGGGTGAGACTTTTGCATTTGGCCTATATGAATCA